GTCCTTTATGATGGCCAGCTTTGCATAGAACATTTCCTTGATTTCTCCAATTTTCTTCACCTTTGCCTTTCACTTTCCTTATTTCCTCTGCTATTTGTAATGCAGCATCAAACAGCCACTTTGCTTTCTTGCATTTCTTTTTCTTTGGGATGGTGGTGATTGCTGCCTCCTGTACAATGTCACGAACTTCTGTCCATAGTTGTTCAGGCACTCTGTCTATCAAATTTAGTCCCTTAAACCTATTCTTCACCTCCACTGTATATTCATCAGGGATGTGATCTAGGTCAAATCTGAATGGCCTAGTGGTTTTCCCAACTTTCTTCAGTTTAAGCCTGAATTTTGCAATGAGTAGCTCATGATCTGAGCCACAGTCAGCTCCAGGTCTTGTTCTCATTGACAGAATAGAGCTTTTCCATCTTTGACTGCAAATGATATAGTCAATCTGATTTTGGTGTTGCCCATCTGGTGATGTCCATGTGTAGAGTCGCCTCTTAGGTTGTTGGAAAAGGGTGTTCACTATGATCAGTGTGTTCTCTTGACAAAACTCTGTTAGCCTTTGCCCTGCTTCACTTTGTTCTCCAAGGCCAAACTTGTCCATTATTCCGATTACCTTTTGACTTCCTGTTTCAGCATTCCAGTCTTCCTACTTTAGCATTCCAGTCCCCTATGATGATGAGGACATCATTTTTTGGTGTTAGTTCTATGAGGTGTTGTAGGTCTTCATAGAACCGGTCCACTTCAGCCTCTTCTGCATCAGTGGTTGGGGCATAGACTTGGATTACTGTGATGTTGAATGGTTTCCCTTGGATTTGGTCCGAGATCATTCTGTCGTTTTTGAGATTGTATCCCATTACTGCCTTTCGCACTCTCTTGTTGACTATAAAGGCCACACCATTTTTTCTATGGGATTCTTGGCCACAGCAGTAGATATAATGGTCTTCTGAGTTAAATTCACCCATTCCCGTCCACTTTAGTTCACTGATTCCCAAGACGTCGATGTTCAGTCTTGCCATCTCATTTTTGACCACGTCAAACTTACCTTGATTCACAGATCTCATATTTCAGGTTCCTATGCAGTATTGTTCTTTGCAACATCCACAGCTGAGCGTCCTTTTGGCTTTGGCCCAGCCACTTCATTCTTTCTGGGGTTACTCGTACTTGCCCTCTGCTCTTCCCCAGTAGCATATTGGACACTTTCCGACCTGAGGGGCTCATCGTCCTGTGTCATGTCTTTTATCCTTTTGTTACTGTCTATGGGGTTTTCTTGGCAAAGATACTGGAGTGGGTTGCCATTTCCTTCTCCAGGGGATCACGCTTGGTCTGAGTTCTCTGCTGTGGCCTGTCCGTCTTGGGTGGCCCTCCACGGCATAGCCCACAGCCTCATCGAACCATGCAAGCCCCCTCGCCACATCAAGGCAGTGATCCATGAGGGACACTTATTAATGTATTTAAAACATTTATTCCACTCCTCCTGGAGAAAATGGCTGCTTCGGAAGGTGGACTGCATGGCATTATGCCCTACCAAGGTCCATGCCCTCCCTAACCCCACTCTCCCTGCTCCACCCTCAAATCTCCAGGTATTTCTGAACCCAGAGTTGCCAACCCTATTCATAATCACAAAGGTGCCCTGTTTGTGTCAGGGTCTCCTCCTTTTTGCATCAGGGTCTAAAACCAACCTGGCTACTTAAATGAGATTCCCACCAGCGTTCCCTCTAAGCTGAGTTAGTGTGAGCTAGCTCACAGTTTTTTAGCCTCCAGCTCACAGATTTTTGTCTTAGCTCAGGAAGGATGACTCCCGAGCAAACTAATTTATGCAGTAGCCATTCACTCACTCACAGCTTTAATGCCAGTAGCTCACAAAGTAGAATTTTTGCTCACAAGACTCCACAGCTTAGAGGGAGCATTGGTTCCCACATAATGAAATTCAAGAAATTTTGAATATAAAACTTGCTATGTTACCAGAGACAATGTTCCTAGGAATTCTACCAGTGAACCCAGACAGAACTATACATGAATTGCTTATGTATATGTTAACTGCAGCAAGAATAGTAATTGCAGCAAAGTGGAAAATCAAAGACTGTCCAGTTCTTGAGAACTGGATAGATAAAATGCAAGAATATGCTGTTATGGCAAAACTGACAAACGTCATTAATCAGAGAATTTGAAAATAACTGGCGAGTTTTCTATGATTACTATAACCAATCTTTGTAGTCATGCAGTTGAATGGTTTATATTATATGATAGTTTCAGTATGAAATATTAAAGATGTTTTCTTCCATATGATTCTTATCACAACTAACTGTTATGTTAAAATTATATACACATTTTATGAGGTTATTCATGGTTTATCATCTAACTGATAAGATTGATGATAGGATAAAAATGTTAATATAGTATGAGAAAGTGGTAGAATGTTGAGTAGGTAGTTACAGTGGTTTTTTAAATTATTATGTCATACAATTTCCCTAAAAATTCAAGTATATGAATCAAGGATTGTCCTTTATATTTGCAAAAAATGCCCTTTATACTATGTTTTGGTAATTTAATCTTTTATTCTTTTCCCTTATCCCTTTTCTTTATTCTGCATTCCCTCAAAAAGTTCAAAATCAAAATTTATAAAATAAAAAAATGAGATTAGGGTTCCCAACACCACCTCAGCAAATGCTGCGAGATTTTGCGGGGCAGTGCCTGGGGAAGGATGCAATGTCACTTCCAAGTGATGCTCTAGGCTGCCTCCACTAGTCTCTATGGCCTCTACCACAGAGACTAAGGAAAATTCCTAGAGCATCATTATGCAGAAGCCATTTTTATTTCTACTCAATTCCTCACCTCAAATGGGTAAATGGGAGGCCTAGATGAGAGTTGGACAGAGTTAACTAGAACCTGCACTGCATGCGTGCTTAGTTCTGGGCCTCCATAAAGCTCACTTACTTGCCCTCTACGTTTATAGACAGCCAGTTTGGTGCAGTGGTGTGTCAGAGTGTCAGACCAGGATCACAGAGACCCAGGTTCTAATTTCCACTAAGCTATAAAAGCTTGCTGGCTGATCCTGGGCCAGTCACACATTGTCAGCCTAACCTACCTCACAGGGTTATTGTAAGCCTGAAATGGAAGAGAGGAAAGTGATGTAAGCCACTTTGGGTCCCTACTGGGGAGAAAGGTGGGATAAAAATGAAATATATTATAAATATTTACATTTGCATCCAGTATCTTCCCCCCCATCAAAGAAAGCTCATTCTGTAAACGCTGCTCTGAATTGTTCACTCTCTGGAGAAAATGGACTGACACAATTAAATAATTGCAGTAATCCTATCAACATGGATGCTCCTCCCATTGCCGGTCTACTCAATTGTATGTGTAGAAAGAGGAGGGGAACATTACCAGGAGTTGGCAGAAGTGCCCTCAAGCAGCTTGGCAAGTTGCTCAGTCAACGGGGTGAAGAAGGCTTCCATATTGAAGTTGGGCTGGTAAAGCTCACTCAAGCACATCATGATGCTGGAGTCACAGCAGAAAACCTTGTTTTGAGTTGTCACCACATAAGGGATGAAAGTGTAGCTGCAGTTGCAGTCCTGAAAGAACAATTGGCCCCATAAAACACTTTGCATCCCCATCTTTGGAAATGCATTTTTAAACATGCAGGATCCATCCTGAATACTGATGACTACATTGGATTGGACCCCAAAGTGCCTTCTGCTCACTTTTGGATTCCACAACATTAATTTTGTTTCTCCATCTCCATCTCCTCCTCCTCTGTTACTTACAATCTAGATAACAGGCTTCTTATTGTCAGGGGCAGGAAAGACAACACCAGGCCACCTCCACCCTTCTTGGCCCCTCACATTGTCTAGCCTAGCACCCACTAGGCCTAGAGCGGTCACAGATGCTCCTTGTAAAGATCCTCATACCTGCCAGCTGATCAGTGGCACATGGCCCTTTAAGAGTCAGGGGTTGCCAACCTCCAGGTGGTAGCTGGAGATATCCTGGGGTTACAACTGATCGCCAGGCAGCAGACATCTGTTCACGTGGGGATAATGGCAGCTTCGGAAGGTGGACTCTATGGCATTGTACCCCACTGGAGTCCCTCCCTTCCCCAACCCCACCCTCCAGGCTCCCCAGCATCTCCAGGTATTTCCCAGCCTGGAGCTGGCAACTCTACCCTCCCCTCCCCCTTGGCCTTTTGACAACCAACTGTCTGACTGGCAGCTGTAGGGAAGCTCCATCCCAGGGGCAGAAATTGCTCAGAGGCGCTATTGGTCTCTTGCAGGCTTGGCCACGCCTCCATGGGGCTTCTGGCTAGATGGAGGTCACTGAGCATACCCAGGGTAGGGTCTTTAAAAGGCTTGAGGGAGGAGAGACCAGCTCTGGCTCCCTGTTCAGAAGGGAGTAGAGCAGAGGTGGGACAGGGCGGTGCTCAACTCCCACCCCCTCTCTCTGAGCTCAAGGGAAGGGACTGCAGCCAACCTGGAACCTGGCATGCAGTACTCTCCGTTACTAAAAAATACAACCAAACACCCCACCCAGCTACATGGGTACATAACAAGTCTACCTAATACATCAGGAGATAAAGCTAAATATACTGTATACAGGGCTATTTTTGGGCAGGAACGCACAGGAACAGACTTCCACTTGGCTTCAGAGCTGGCCACGCCCACTACAGCCAAAACTTCTGTGTGCGTGGCTACAGAGAGAAGGCCTGGAAAGCGACCCCCCCCCCCGGCGACTCCGAGGCGGGCGGGCCAGGGGGGGCCCTGAAAGGATTGGGGAGGCATTTAAATGCCTCCCCGTGCCTTCCCTGGCTTGTCCAAGGGCAAGCTTGTCCAGGCTCCCTGCAGCCGCAGGGCGCCCAAGCAAGCCAAGGGAAGGCATGGGGTGTGGCCTAATATGCTAATGAGTTCCTGTTGGGCTTTTTCTACAAAAAAAGCCCTGAATATACATATTGTCTCAAAATGCAGTCTATCAAACTGTACACAAAATACAAACACTTTAATCGATGCTGAGAAACACATTTTAGAAAGTGCTGGGGGTGGGTGGGAAATCACCTTCTTGGACCAACTGAATTCCCAGGGATGGAACAAGACCCTAACATAGCAACCTGTTTAAGGCTTCGTCTCACAAGGAAGCCAAATTGTCCTCTCTGTTCCTGCCCTTGGGATGCTTTTCCTCAGGAAGTTCGACTGGCCCTTGACTATGCAGGCATTCTCCAAAGAAGTAACAAGACCTCTTGCCATCTTAAAACTTTACGTTTACATGCTTAACACAGCCTACTACATTTCTATACTGCTGCTAATACTGTAAGAATTTGAATGCTTTTAAAGACTCATATCTGTTGTTTAAGTAGATGAAGTTGTTTAACTGTTTTATACACTGCTTTGAAATATTCAAAATGCCGTTCTTTCCAATAAATAAATAAATAAAATGTCAGAAAAGAAACTAGACTTACAGAAGTCTTCTGGAAAATCTCCTCCTAGAAAGAAAAAAAGATTGAAAGGGTTATTAAATGTATTGCTGCATTTATTTATTTATTAAATTTATATCCCGCCCTCCCCTAACGGGCTCAGGGCGGCTAACAAAGAGGCATACGCCATGATTGAACAACTAAAGACAGAATAAAACAATCCATCACAAAGTGCCGGTGCTCTAGATATTAATTCTTATCAGTCCAAGATGGGGTTCCGTTGGCCAACCTAACCCGTCAGCATAAGTTCTGGATAATACTATTGTCCCTTCATGACCAGTTCTTCAGGTCGTCAGGTTGTCTTCCCAGGGCCAGCTCACATCCAGATCGAATCCACCGTCAAAGATGGCAGCTCGGTGGTGGTACAATGGCGGTGGCGGCTCCTATGCAAAAGCCGAGTGGAAGAGCTCCGTCCTGCAGGCCCTGCAGAACTGCGCAAGGTCCTGCAGAGCCCAGATCTCCCCTGGGAGCTTGTTCCACATGACAGGAGCCACCACTGAGAAAGCCCTGGCCCTGGTTGCAGCCAACTTGATGTACTTGGGGCCTGGAACAACCGATAGGTGTTACGCCCCTGACCGTAGTGCTCTTGGGGGAACATATGGGGAAAGGCGGTCCCTTAGGTAAGCTGGACCCTGGCCATCAAGGGCGTTAAAGGTAAGAACCAGCACTTTGAAGCGAATCCGGTACGCTATAGGCAGCCAGTGCTGCGCCTTCAGCACCGGGTGGATGTGGTCCCGCCTAGTGAGACCCATCAACAGCCTGGTGGCTGCTGCAGACTCCCCCAGGAAGATCCAGGGGAGATTCTGAGGAGTCCCCCCACCCCAGACAGAGCCTCCCCCTCCCCACACATGCCCCCCACCTCCTTCTGCGGGGGCTTGCAAGCGTTCCCCAAAAGGCATGTGTTAAGTACAAGACTCAACACAGCTAGTGAACACTGAATCAGCTTTATTAACGAAGTCAGAAGAAATCAGAACGAGACAAAAACATAGAGCAACAGGCTCTCTTTTAAACAGTCCGGGCTTAGGTAGCCACGCCCACATGTCAGCTAACACCCAATGACTATTTACAGATCAGGTCCAATCAGAGTGCTTCGCTCCAGAACGTTGCGCAGCTCTGATTGGTCTATTTACAATCCTGGTTCAGACTCAAGCTTAACATAGTTTCAATACATAACAGCATGGGTTTGCAGGCAAAAGGAAAACACTGTGCTTTTAAAAAGTTCTCCTCTGCAGCCTTGCCTGGAGCAGATAAGGAATAGCGCCAGGGACAGGCAGAGAGAGAACCTCTTCTACCTCCACCCCAGACAGAACCTGGGGACCTCCACCACCACCCCATCCCTCTGTAAGCCCCAGAGCCAAAAGGCTTGGGTTTGCAGGCAAAGGGGGGGGGGGGAAGGTCTACTCTACAGCCTTGGCCCATGCCTTGGGAGATGCTGTCTGCCAGGAGCAGATAACAAGCATGCAAGAGTCCCCCCCCCCCAGCTCCATTTTGCAAGGAATAGAGCAAAGCAGGTGGCGAGAAATGAGCCCTTCAAAAGCAAACTGCTTTTTACAAAAACACTGTTGAAGCAGTTGCATGCAAGCTCCTTCTAAAAGTTAAGCATTCAGCAAAGGGATGTTTAAACATCCTTCGCCCTCCCAGCAGGCACTGCTCTCCCTGTTTCCTTGGTAAGTAGCTTTTAAACTCTTGCTTCCTGTCCTTTTTTAAAAAGGCTGTTTGCAAACTAACTCTGCTTTCCTGGTAACTCCACCTCCATTTCCCATTGGTCCATTGCTCAGCCAATAGGGGTGGAGGGGGTGGGACTTCTGGGGAGGGGGAGAGTGCATGGGGAGAAGGCGGGACTTCTGGTGGAGGGCGGGGGAACCACTCATCAAAGTCTGATTTGACAGAAGCAACATACTTATTCCTCCTGGTGGCCTTAGACCTCAATTCCTCTCCCTCCCAAGCTACAATATGTAGACAATCAGGGCTATTTTGGGGCAGCAATGCGCAGGAACGGAGTTCCGGCTGGCTCCTGAGTTGGCCACGCCCGGCAGGAACTCATTAGCATAATAGGCCACACCCAACAGAAGAAACTCATTAGGATTGGCTACATTAGGGGTGTGTGGCCTAACATGCAAAGGAGTTCCTGCTACAAAAAAAGCCCAGGGTTTTGACAACAAACAAGGTAAACAGAATAAGAAGGGAAAGGTGGGTGTGTCTGGATGACCACACTTCTGGTAACATGGAGGTGTGGCCTAATGTGCTAATGAGCAGTGATGTCAGGGTGTGGCCTAATATGCTAATGAGTTTCTGCTGTTGGGGGTGGCCTATTATGCTAATGAGTTCCTGCTGGGCTTTTTCTACAAAAAGAGCCCTGTATACTGGCACCTTTACAAGGTAGTTGCAAAGATTACCAAGATAACGTATGTGAAGTGCACTGAACTCCTGGGTAAATGCAATTCCCCCTCCCCACAATCTACATTTCTCTTACAAAATGTGTAGTACTTTTTCACTGCACGGATAGTTAACCTGCAGAACTCTTTGCCACAGGATGTCATGATAGGGTGCTTAAAGAATGGCCAAAGGGAGGGTCACCATGTTGCCTGCAATGGTTTCTTCCACAAAATGCTTATATAAGAAACAAGATTCATCATTTGCATTTGCAATTCTGGGGAATGAAACCTGGAGGTGGAACTTCTGATAAACTAAAGAAGAGTAGGAGGGTCTGATCCCTCTGTGTCTACACAAAGATCAGATACGTTATGGGGTGGAGAGGAAACTGCATCCTTTGCTCTAGTTGGGTGACATTTCCTTATCACTCAACAGATTTGATAATGTGCATGGTGACCACAACTTCATCAAGGATGGTTACTACCAGTCACTAAGTGCCACAAGGGAATCCACAGCACTTCCAAACAGTTACAGTCATGCAGGGCTTTTTTTGTAGAAAAAGCCCAGCAGGAACTCATTAGCATAATAGGCCACACTCAACAGAAGAGATTCATTAGCTTATTAGGACACACCCCTGACAGCACAGCTCATTAGCATATTAGACCACACACCCCATGTTCACAGAAGTGTGGTCATCCAGACACACCCCCCTTTTGCTCCTTATTCTGTTTACCTTGCTTCTTGTCAAAACCCAGGGCTTTTTTGTAGCAGGAGCTCCTTTGCATGTTAGGCCACACACCCCTACTGTAGCCAATCCTAATGAGTTTCTGCTGTTGGGTGTCGCCTATTATGCTAATGAGTTCCTGCTGGGTGTGGCCAACTCGGGAGCCAGCCGGAACTCCGTTCCTGTGCGTTCCTGCCCCAAAATAGCCCTGCAGTCATGCTTCTGTCATCATGCTTTCATGGGTTTACAGGAAGCTGGACTGTGGCTTAGCAGGAGAGAACCTGCTTTGCACATGGAAAGTCCTTGGTTTAATCCCTGGCATCTCCAGTTAAAAGGATCAGGTGGTAAATGATACGAAAGACCTTTCCTTGAAATCCTGGAGATCCACTCAGAGTAGGCAAGACTGGCCTTGGCAGACCAATGCGCGGACACAGTATAAGGCTGCTTCACGTGTGTGTGTTCATGTTACACTCCACTGGCATAAGACCGTGACTTCTTTATTTATTTTATTTATAGCCCACCTTTCTCACCGAGACTCATGGCAGGTTATGCAATAAAGACAATGGACTCCTATAGCACAGGACACCCATCCAGGGGTCGTTTCATAGAAAAAGAGCTAGGGGAACTCATTAGCCTAACTCATTAGCTAAGCCGCACCCCCTGACATCACCGGATGTGTGTCATAAGGCCACACCCCCTGACATCACCGGAAGTGTGTCATAAGGCCACACACCCCGCCCCCAATGGTCCCGGCTGCTGCTGCCGGCCTTGCAGCTCCACTGCCGAGCCCCATGAGGGGCCCGGCGGTGGACCTGCAAGGCCGGCGGGAGTACAAGGAAGCCCCGTGAAGGCCCTCCCTGGCCCCAGGCAGGCAGGGGTGGGGAGAGGCAGGGAGGAAGCAACTTACCCTCCCTCTTCTCCTGCCTCCTCCTGGCTGAATGAGGGCCGGAAGCGGGGCAGCTGGAAGCAGGGGGCGGGGCTTCGTCATGTGCCCCGTCCCCCGTCCCTCACCCGGGGGAACTGCGATCCCCCGCAATCCCCCCCCGAAATGACCTCTGCACCCATCCATTTAGTCCTCACAACCTTGTGAAGTACATCTCATCCTCTGAGGTGTGATGGGTTGGGGAGAGGGCTGTTTACCTATCCTGCTTCCAGTTCAGCTTTCTGTCCTGCTCCATAACCAACTCACAGGAGACTCTGGAAGCTTCTACTGCTTCTACTGGATTGCACTAACACACACTGGGAAACATCAACCTCAACACCAGAACACAAGTGAGGTTGCTCCTAGGCAGGCCTTGAGGGGTAAACCAAACCTCGTTCTTGAGGGCCAATAGCTATACACACAGGTATATACATCACCAGGTAGGTTCAGGCTGAGAGAATCTGATTTACCCGAGATGACACAGTAAACTTCATAGCTGAGACATTTGACACCCCCCCTCCCTGGTCTTAGTCCAGCAATCTGACTGCTATACCACACCAGCAGGAAGCCTTAGCCATCCAGTTTGGCAAGCATCTCTTAGGCTTAAACCCTGTTTCAACTTAGACTTCCTAAGATGACCACCTCTTACCTTGATACAGAAAAGAAGTACCCTTAATCTGGCCCGGTCCCCCCTTTTCATAGCAGGCCAAGAGCTATGACATCCCAGCAGCCCACAACCACATCCACTGCCAATCACACATTCTCTCTCACTCACCCGGAGGGTTTGCAGCTCCGGCAGGTCCGTGTAACAGCACAGGAGGATGTTGTTGGTCATGCTGAAGCTCTCGCGGACCCCCAGGTGATAGAACAGCGAGGGCTGGTACAGCCTGTTGCTCATCTCCACCACAACCACATCTGCAAGGAGAGAGACCATCAGATAGGACCCTCCTTCCCAGATACCCTATCACTACTATACAAATTAACAAGTGATTGGAGCACCTTCTCTACCAGGAAAGAAATCAACACTGGAAGCTTTTTGGTGAAGGGGGGGGGGGAGATGGCAAAAGGGGGTTATGGCACAAGAGGTAAAATTATGCATGGTTGGGAAATGATGGACAGAGGGAGCTTCCTCTCTTGTAATGTGAGAAGTTGAGGATTGGCTAATGAAACTGATGGGCAGGAAATGTAGGAAATTAAAGGATGAGATAGAGGCAATGTATAATTCTCCAATGGAAATCAATGGCCACAAGAGATAGGATTTGAAGCTATGGAAAACATGCCCCCTCCAAACAAACACACACCACAAAGAAACCCAGAACTTTGGAGGAAAATCAAAATATATGCACTGCTTAGTTTCTTATCAAGCCTGAACTCATTTTACTGCTTTAACAACACACATTGAGCCATTTCAAACCTAGCATGCAAAATGGTACCTTTTGGCATATTTATGACATTTAAAAGTATCGATGCCTTACACTGTAATCCTGTGCCACTTTGAGCCTTCTGAAATCAATAGACTTAGGTTGGAGTAACTCTATGCACAGTTTTCTGCACGTAAAATTGTAACTACCTCCAATATGGGAGGCTGCAAAGGGCTGCAGCATATGCTGATCTTAGCACTCATATGTTAGTTTTTGGCTATCTGAGAGGTAAAGAAAAATGAAAGTTGAAAAACAGAAAACAGAGATTTTCTCGTAAAGAAAAGAAAATGTATTCTGTGAATAGAAGCAATCTCATGCAACCATGATAGGGCTAGCGGCATAGTTGCATTAAACTTCATAAGAACGAAAAGGCTGACTTCTTTAACAGTGTATTATAATATATACTATAAGCAATTAGCTGTGATACTTTTGCCAAGTTTTTTTGTTGATAAAATACTGAGGATATACTCTGATCTGGATGTCAGTTGCAGCCAGTGTTCCCTCTAAGCTGAGTTAGTGTGAGCTAGCTCACAGTTTTTTAGCCCCCGGCTCACAGATTTTTGTCTTCGCTCAGGAAGGATGGCTCTAGAGCAAACTAATTTACGCAGTAGCCAAATCACTTGCTCACAACTTTATTGCCAGTAGCTCACAAAGTAGAATTTTTGCTCACAAGACTCCACAGCTTAGAGGGAGCATTGGTTGCAACATAGGTACACCAGAAGAAAGGCCTGGTCTATTTATGGAACATTTTGACCCAGTTTCCATGATGGATGTGGACAAGATCCTGGGATCTGTGAAGGTCATCACTTGTACCCTGGATCCTTACTTATACTGGCTACTAAAATCCTGTAAGGATCGCATCATCTTAGTATCTATTATAAATCAATCACTGGCTCAGGGCATCTTCCCTCAGCCACTCAAAGAGGTAGTTATCCATCTGCTACTTAAAATAACATCCTTATAGAAAAATGATGTGGCCAGTTATCACGCAGTCCCTAATCTGCCCTTTCTGGGCAAAGTGCTGGAGAGAGCAGTAGCAGACCACTTCTAAGATAACTCATCTGCTCTAGACTCTTTTCCATCTGGCTTCAAGCCAGGCTATGGGACAGAGATGGCTCTGCTAGCTTTAGTTGATAACCTCCATCTGAGTGTAGACAAAGACCAAGCCTCTCTGTTGCTCTCACTGGCTTTTTCTGCAGCCTTCAATGGAGTAGATTAAGGGTCCCCAACCTTTTTCAGCCTGTGGGCATCTTTGGAATTCTGGCACAGGGTGGTGGGCACAACCACAAAATGCCTGCTGGAGGAGGTGGAGGAGGTAACCACAAGAGGCAGAGCGAACCGCAAAATGGCACAGAGTGAGGGCATGTGTAACTCTAATAGTAACTCTTCAACATTTCAGGCAGAAGCTGGGTTTAACAGGATGATTTTCTAAAAAATGAACTGTGGTTTTAAAATATTTTCTTGCATACACACAGCCCACCGTCCGTCATGCAGTGAAGATTCTTATGCTGTGGTGGTGGCAGCTGCTGCTAAAGCAACTTTTGAAAAATGTGCATGGCCAATCAGAAGCCCTGCTGGGCAAAGGCTCCACCCAGCCCCACCCACTTTCTAAAAACCCTTGGCGGGGACTAGGAGAGATATTGGTGGGCACCATACTGCTCTCTCAAGCCGGGATCCCTGCAGTACATCATATTCCATCTTGTTGAAGTGCTTAGAGGCAGAAGTAGGTATCGGGGATGCACATTAGACTGGTTCAAATCATTCTTCACGGATCAGACTCAAAGGGTTGCTATTGGAAACCAGTTGTCAACAGTGTAGAACAGTGTTCCACAGGGTGCAATTCTATCCCTCATGCTTTTCAATTTCTATGTAAAACCCTTAGGACAAATAATTAGTAATTTTAGGGTTCGTTGTCATCAATACACTGATGATAGGTAAAGGTAAAGGTTACCCTTGCTCGAAAGCCAGTCAAATCCGACTCTAGGGATGCGGTGCTCATCTCTGTTTCCAAGACAAAGAGCCAGCGCTGTCCAGAGACGTTTTCGTGGTCATGTGGCCGGCATGACTAGACTCTGAGGTGCACAGAACGCTGTTACCTTCCCACTGAAGTGGTACCTATTTATCTACTTGCAATTTCTTGCTTTCAAACTGGCAGGAGCTGGGACCAGAGACGGGAGCTCACTCTGTCATGCGGCACTTGGGTCTCAAACGGCTGAACTACCGACCTTCCAGTCTGCAGTTCAGCGTCTTAACCACTTGAGCCACCCAGCTCTATATATCCTTATCCAAATCTCCTGGTGATGCAGTTAGAGGTCCTGATTAACTGCTTGGCTGCTGTGGTTAATTGACTAAAAGTGAACAAATTGAAACTAAACCCTGAAAAGACAGAGGTAACGCTGGTTGCGAAGGTGGAAATATTGAAGGACATTGTGCTTCCCACATCTGATGGAGTTTAGCTGACCCTTGCTGACACAGGCAAAAGCCTTGAGGTTATACTGGATCCACCTTTACTACTGGAGAAGCAAGTTTATGCAGCTGCAAAAGCAAACAAACACTTTCTACCAACTTACCCCAGCCTGTAAGATGGCCCTGTAGCTAGATACAGCTGATCTGGCCACCTGGATCTACACTGAGACTAGACTACTGTAATGCAATATATGTTGGTCTCCCCTCAAAATCAATTTGGAAACTCCAGCTGGTTCAAATCCCACGGCTTGGCTATTTTCTGGAACTAGACGAAGCATGCATATTACTCCCATTCTGCAGACTCTCCACTGTCTGCCTATTTGTTACCAGGCTCAGTTTAAGGTACTAGCTATCACAAACAAGGAGCTGCGGTGGCTCATGTGGTTAAGATGCTGAACTGCAGGCTGTGGAAGGTCAGTAGTTCAGCAGTTTGAGACCCGGGTGCCGCATGATGGAGTAAGCGCGCCCGTCTCTAGTTCCAGCTCCTGCCAACCTAGCAGTTCGAAAGCAAGAAATTGCAAGTAGATAAATAGGTACCACTTCAGTGGGAAGGTAACAGCGTTCTGTGTGCCTTGGTGTTGAGTCATGCCGGCCACATGACCACGGAAACATCTTCGGACAGCGCTGGCTCTTCGGCTTTGAAACGGAGATGAGCACCGCAACCCTAGAGTCGGATTCGACTGGCTTTCGAGCAAGGGAACCTTTACCTATCACATACAAAGCCCTTCATGGCCTTGGTCCCTCTTACCTGTGGGACCGCCTCTCCCCCTATGCTCCGCCACAACAGTTTCACTCATGTCAGCAGGCTCTTCTGCAGGTGCCACCCTGCAAACGGGCAAAATGAACAACTGCCCAATGCTTACTCCATTGTTGCTCTCATTTTATGGAACGGCCTGCCCCAAGGAGGTGAGGAAGGCTCCCACTCTCCTGGCTTTCCACAAACTACGCGTAACTGAATTATTTAACAAGGGTTTTCGGGACTGTGGTCTCTACTACTGTGTATATCTTAATATAAATCGGATCCTATTATGTAATTTTTGACCCGCTTAATGTGTTCTGTTAATAGTTATCCTGTGTTTCAGTTCTATCTTTTAGATTTCTCGTTGATTTCAAACTTCTCTAATCCTAATGCATTCATTATTGAATGTTATTTTGTTGATTGTATTGACTCACTGTATAATCTGCCTTGAGTCCCTGAAAGAAAGGCAGACTACAAAATATGTAAATAAATAATTGTGAACAAAAATAGTACATTGAAACAATTTTTTTTGGAAACATGTTGTATACAGTCTATATAGCATACAAAGGAATGATTGTTCTCTAATGCTGTTTGTCCAGCATACAAATCTTCATACCGCACGTCCTGAGTAGTAAAAAGTAAAGGTTTCCCTTGCTCAAAAGCTAGTTGAATCTGACTCTAGGGAGCGGTGCTCATCTCCGTTTCCAAGACGAAGAGCCAGCGCTGTCCAAAGACGTTTCCGTGGTCATGTGGCTGGCATGACTAGACGCCGAAGTGCACAGAAAACTGTTACCTTCCCACTGAACCTGTACCTATTTATCTACTTGCATTTTCTTGCTTTCAAACTGCTAGGCTGGCAGAAGCTGGAGCCAGAGCATTTTGCACAATCCCAATATTCCATTAGGAGGTGTTTTTTTCTGAGCTCTCCTAACATTCCCCCCAAATATTTAGGGGAAAAAATCTAATTTTTCCCCATTGGCCTTCATACCTCTAATAGTGATAGCTATTAGTTTAATTGGGTTTAAAGGGGGAGTAGAAAAATTCATGGAGGAGAGGTCCATCAACAGCTATTAGGGTAGGTCTATCTAAATCTTCATATGCTACTGGGGAAGAGCAGACAGCAAGTACAAGTAACCCCAAAAAGAGTGAAGTGGCTGAGCCAAAGCCGAAAGGACGCTCAGCTGTGGATGTGTCTGATGGTGAAAGGAAAGTCCAATGCTGCAAAGAACAATACTGCATAGGAACCTGGAATGTAAGTTCTATGAATCAAGGTAAGCTTGACGTGGTCA